AAACACACAGCGTCTTCACGACATGGCAACAACAATACTACAGCGAGAATAGAAGTTACGCCTTCTTTCTTTGCGTGAACGTTTGGGCGGCGTTATGCAAATCTTCCCACACAGTGACGTAGATATGTGGGGGCGTGTTTAAACGAGGCGTTTTAGGAGGGTGTGGACAAGTCTTAACTTTTATAAAGAATATCTCTTTGGATTTGAGACTTTAGTCTTTGCAACTTTACAGATCTTCTTTATGCACCAAGAGCTTGTAACACTCCAAAGAGAAAGGAAAAATTGAAATTGCATCATATGACCCCTTTTTAAAGGGCTGAGGGCAAGTAAATGTGTCATTTTTGGGTGAACCACTCCTTTAACTAACCATTATTAAATGCATATGGTCAAATATTTAGATGCATTAATATTTTTAAAGTTGGTTGAGGTATATTTGATTCAATTACTGTATCACACATCAGTTGCACATTAAAAGCAAAAGCAGCTCACTTATTGACCTTTGCACCTGGAAACTACCTACATCGGATTAATTATTTGCACTAGCTGCTCTGTCCATATGATTAAAAGGTGTTGTTTGGGCTGTATTTTGCTATGCATAATGATAATGGAGTATGTTATGATAGCACTAGCCATAGTCATGTTTAGTGATTGCAGGTGTGATTACTCAACACATTCAGAGAAGTTCAAAGTAGATGTATTACTAATGACTCATTGACAACAGTGCCGTTTGAACTCAAATATATGATACAGCAAATATCTATTATTTGCTGCTGGGAGTGGTTTTATGTAGAGGGTAATAAAAAGTCTGAACCTAACAAGGAGTGGCCCGTGAGCAACTACCTATTGTTCCCTTTGAACAAGCCACCTATAACCTCAGGTTAGGCTATTTACTTACCACACATGAACATGTTATTCAACTTTGAGGATATTACATATATAGATAATAGACAAAAATAAAGAGTATAAAAACCAATGTTTTACTAGTACTAGTACCAGTGCAACGGTATTGAATTTCAAAGAAAATATGATTTTGATGCACATGGGGTCAGTATGATTTTTTTTTTTTTTTTTAAAGAAATGAATACCTGTATTCAGGAAAAATTTACGTTTGAACATCAAATTGATCAAAAGTGACAGATTTGTACAAGGTTACAAAAAATTCTATTTCAAATGATTGTGGGGGGGGAAAATTGTGGAAAAAAATATTAAGCAGCACTACTGTTTTCAACATTGATAATAAGAAATGATTCTTGAGTGGCATAACAATATGAATTCTGAAGGATCACATGACACTAAAGACTGGAGTAATGATGCTGAAATTTCAGCTTTGCCATCACAGTAATAAATGATATTTTAAAATACGTTAACATAGAAAACTGCTATTTTAACTCATAATAATATGTCACAATATTACTGTTTTTGCTGTATTTATGATCAAATAAATGCAGACTTGGTGAGCATAAGAGACTTCTTCCAAAAAAACACCACAAAAGCAAATCTAATATTAAAAAGTAAAAAAAAAGAAAGAAAACAATTACTTCACATGATCATAGACACCTTTCCAGGAATGTAAAGATCAGATTATATGAAAAATGCATGGAAAAACTGGCCATCCGTACAGCAAACAGAAGTCAATGTTTTCACTGGTGCTCACCCAATCTTAGTGATCTGCATCTCAGGTGAGCTCTGACTGGACGAGTTGTCTAATCTGAGGTCCTGAGTGGTGTGTCCACTGTCAGATGTCCTCTGTGGACTAGGGGACACCTCTCGACTGCTGGAACATAATGAGTAACTCATCTTAATTATTGTTCTCAGAACTGCATTTTTCATATTTAATAAGCCTTACATAAAAAGATACTTATTTGTCAGTACACACTTAATACACACTAGATTCTAATCTTTGTTACGTTTCCTTTATGGTTTTCTAGCTACATGACAACAAAATGACTTCTAACAAGTAATCAATTATGCTAAAGTACTTTAAGGGTTTTCCCTATGACAATGTCTGCCTTTTGTTATTAAGACCAAATATCCGCCTTGACGTTTTTCAAAGACATACAAAAATTAGGGATGGGCATTTTCCAAAAATTTTGCATTTGAATATTTGCACTCATAAAAAAACGAATATTCGAATATTCGTTTGTTTAAATGAGGTTTCATGAGAAAGACGTTATTTTTAATTATCAAGTATTTGTCACGATTTCTGAACAAGCTTATGATTAGCCATTACACAACAATGTTCTACAACAACGTTACGTTATATCACAAGGTTTTATTTTAGTTGAAAACATGTGTAAACAACAAAAAAAGCATCCAAGATCAAGCAGAGCAAACGGAAAAATCAAGCAGACTGTGCCAATTACAGTACAGAACGTAGGCTACATATACTCGAGTCGGCCTATATTTATTGTGTTTACATTGTTTCACGTATTAATTCTGAGAGAAACAATAATATCCACATGCTCGGGTGAAAGTTTGTTCCTCAGTCTGATAACAATAAGAACGCGCTGACAAAGATAACGTGTGCTAACAGTTTCTTAACGCTTTGTGTTAAACCACTCTCCCTCGAGGAACCCTTATATATGTCTCAAGATCATTTGGCTATCAGATGCGCTCTCTTCTCGGCTCAATCGGAGTACAGCTGCGCTTACCTGCAGTTTTTCCTCAGTTGACTGTGTTTGGATTTCATGTGATTTCTCATTGTGGAGGTGATATTATGATAAATCAGTTTCACTAATTCATTTGATCAAAAGTAATTACATTTTGTCAGATCATTTAGTAAGATCATTTAGATCAAAGTAAATCCAAACTTCGCGAGGCAGATAACGACATTCTGTGATCAAATACTATTCAACTTGTTAACACGCTCCACAGCGCCACCCAGTGCATTTAGTTATAACTGCTTAGGATTTATCATGGATTCCCTGCATTTACTGGCCGTACATTCCCTGCATGTACTGGTAGTACATTGTTGATTTGTTTGCAAATCAACAAACACATAGTAAAATTCGAATAGTGTTTTTATTATTCAAATAATAATTTCAGACCGAATATTCGAATGTTCGACTAGTCGTGCACACCCCTAACAAAAATATTAAACTAAATCTTCATAGGAAAAGTCTTTTTAAGTCAATGTTTGTATGAATTGTGTTTTCATGTATTTTTTGAATAAATTAATAAAAGGGCTTCAACTTCGAGAAAGAAAAAAAAACCTGTCTGTTTTTCTTACCTTCTCTCCTGAACTTCTTGTATGTTCTCAATCCCAATGGCACTGCTCCTCCTGGAACTAAATGGACCAGATTTCTTACGGGTTGGGCTTTTCCCAGGAATAATCAAGGACTGTGGAGAAATCACATTTTGATTCAGATTATTAGCCACTACATAATATCTTCCATTCATGTACTTTCTTTCTTTTTTCGATATTATTCATTTTAATTCTTATTTTATTTTTATTGATTTTATCTTGACTTTTATGTCTTTTTATTATTATTATGCCTAAATAAAGCACTTTGAATGACCATTGTGTATGAAATTCTTTGTGTAAATCAACTTGCTGTGTCTTCTATCAATCATTTGGGTGACGGCAGATTTATGATTCAACACAAAACATCAAATATTATATCAGCTAAGAAACAGCAGAAACTGGGTTCTATTTTTAATAAAAATGGACAAGCCCTTCAACATCATCAGAGCTTGATGAGTGATTTAATTTGGTCTTCAGATTTGTGCATTATGCATTACAGTGCAGCCTAGATGACCTTGAAAACAGGTCCAGATGGAAAAATCTCTGTTTAACAAAGCTGTCTGCAAGTTTATAGGTTTGCACACACGTTTGATAATTTTCTGGTTTTCTGTGACAGTTGTTGCAGACACATTAGTACATTAGGATGGCTAATAGGCAGTTATGGCAGCCTGTCATGAGAGGCTCTCTCAGTTATTGCTGTTGCACTCGTTGTCATAGCAATGGAGACGGGACGGTCGCTTATGGAGAGCCCCATCTGTTCCACCGACCACCATTCAAACAGATCATAAGAGCTGATTACACATCAGTTTTTTTCTTTTGTAATGGTGAAATGATGAAGATCAGAAATGGCAGGAGAAGACCTGGTCTACCATCAGCACAAGCCTCACAGATGATGTGAGCCATGACGACACAAGCACTCAAAGGTCAAACCCACCCGCAGGGCACGATGGGGGTCAGAGGGCATGAAGACTGGCACAAAATAAAGCTGCCACACTGTTTTGGGGCTTCTCATGACAGCCTGCATTCATTTCTGGGTCACAAGGGTGTTCATACTCACAATGCCGGGTGTTTTGGGGGTGTCTGGGGGGTTGTGTGTAAAGCTTCCGCTCTGGCTGGTGGAGACGGTGTGCGGTTTCTTGTTACTGAGGCCCATGGCATCCATAGACTGACTTCTATTGCGTATTACTCGCTGGAAAGAGAAAAACAATGCATTGCATCACTGGAAGCCAACACTAGAGGGCACTACGACTGCTTATATGAGAGCTAGAGAGAGTAAAGGACAAAGAAAGTGGGTATGATTTGACTAGCATACTACATACTTACAATTACCTCAGGTTGTATACTGTCAGAAGTACAAAACAATTTCAATATGCAAAGAACACCAGGTGACTTTCTTCATTTGCCAAAATGTGAGTGTATCCCATAATGCAATGTACTTCACTTCTACTGCACTTTTTTCTATTACTTGAGTAAATTATTAATTGACATGGGTAAGATGTTTTGCACAAAATTATATCAAAACTGTAGCACACTGCTGTTTGAAACATTTAATTGTTCTATAATGCATACTATTTTAAATACACTACAGTTTAAAATGCTGAGGACAGTAAAAAAATTAATGCATTTTATTTGACAATAATGAATTAAATTGATCAAAGTGACAGTAATGACATTATTATTTCAAATAAATACTGTTTTCATTGTTTGCATTACTTTCTATTTATCAAAGAATCCTTATAAAAATTAAGCAGCACACCTGTATTCAATTTAAAAAAAAATCTTTAACACCAAGTCAGCAGCTGAAAATTCAGCTTTATATCACAGGAATTAATAACTTTTTATATATATATATATATATATATATTCAAATAGTAAACAAGGTTAATGCATAACACATTTGATTAAATAAATCAGCCTTGGTGAGCATAACAGACTTCTTTTAAAAACATAAAAAATACTTACCCCTAATTTAAAAACACCCCAAAATTTTTGACATATAGTTTATTTTGTATACTGCATAAATCATACTTCAATATCACGCTGATTTTAACATTCTACAATATGGGATGCAACTATTCTAATCTCACATATAGAATGGACAGTATGCAAATTATGCAAAACTCATCTCTGCTATTCACCAGAACTCTTTTGTTATACATCCACATCATTTTGTCAGTAATTAATTAAACAAATACAAACCCTTTTTACTAGTTAAAGAGATTCAAATGGATTTTACCTTGAAAGACTCAAAGAAGCCACCGCCTCCTCCTCCTCCATTCTCCAGTTTGTCATCATCTCCTCCCAGTCCCATCATGGACTGGCTGTTCATGTGTAGCTCCTCATATAAAGTCTCCAACAGAGCAAAACGTGTCCTCTCCTGGAGAACAAAGACTTAATGTACAGTAGTATGCATGCAGATGCTTCCACACAAATAAACGCAAACACAAACATGTATGCCCTTCTCACCTCCAGCTTGGCAAACTTCTCTGCTTTATAGCAGGAATATTCAGCATTGATCAGTTTAGTCAAGAGGAACTCATGAAACTCTGGACTCTACACAAAACACAATGAACAGAGATTAAATTAGATTTAAACAAAGAACGGCTCCTAAATTGGATTTTTTTAGATAAAATTATAGGTGAATTATATATTAGTTCAATTATTTATCAATTCAGTCATATCTCTTACGATTAAAGCAATACCTTACCTAAAAGTGAATATTTGCTGAAAGACCCTCAGACCAAGATGTAGATTGTTTCTTCATGGGAACAGATTTGGAGAAATTTAGCATTACATCACTTGCTCACCAATGGATCCTCTGCAGTGAATGGGTGCCGTTAGAACGAGAGTTCAAACAGCTGATAACAACATCACGACAATCTATAATAATAGACCTCAGTCCATGAATTTATGACTAGTGAAGCGTTTCTCATTCTCTCTCATTCTGACGGCACCCATTCACTGCAGAGGATCCATTGGTGAGCAAGTGATGTAATGCTAAATTTATCCAAATCTGTTCCCATGAAGAAACAAACTCATCTACATCTTGGATGGCCTGAGGTTGAGTACATTTTCAGCAAAATGAATTTTTTGGGTGAACTACTCCTTGCCAACAAAATATACTAGCAGTGAAATTGTTTAAATTGATTTTAAATTTTTTTTATTACAACTATATTTATTCATATAATTTGTCAGCATTTTATAAAAGGCTTTACCAATTCATTTACGCATAATTACAAATCAAATGAGACATTCCTGTAGTCACAGCCATACTTAGATGAAATTGAGTTTTTCTACATTTTGTGCGCTGATTTTTAGAGGGAAAATCCAGAAAGTATTTAAATAAAGTGAGGCTGAACTAAAAGTACTTGTTTACACTTATTGGCATCTGAAAGAATAATTAATAAACCAAATACTTCATAAATGAACATCAGTGGTTGAAGGATGTGTAGAATTTTGTAAAAACAGCTGTTCCAATTTTGAGTTCCGGGGCAAAGATTTCACGTGGAACTAGTCACATTACATGAATACAATCTGAAAAGATGTACCTTTTTAAAGACAGCTGGGTCTGGGAGGGCTGGTCCAAAGAAAGGCACATCATCTCTTGCCGTCACAGATACCTACAATATCACAAAAGAAATTATGACTGATATCAGGAAAGCTTCTAAAAAAAAAAAGACTTTAGCACATTGTTTAACAAGTTGATTTACTATAGTGTAAAACATCAATGTGTAGAGAAAAAAACCTACTTTAGAACTGAGTCACTCGTTGTATGTAATCAAGTATGTGAAGCATTCCTATTAGAAATACACTATTCACATAAATCCATGGCTCAAGCTTCATTTTGAAAAATTCAAAAAAGGTTAATTACCTTATAGAGGACGTTATCAGTGCAGGCGTTCTCCACTTGAACCACTACATAAGCGTGAAGAAAATTTGATGCAATCATATCGGGTACAAATGGTGTATTTTCTTCTTGGAACACAATAGCCACAATGTCATTTCCTATATGCCTCTTCCTCTGGAGCTGAAATTAAGTCACACCAAGACAACAAAACTGTGAAGTAATAAGAGGAAGCTGCCTGTAAGGTCTGCACAACTAATTTAAGATTCACTTCTTCGAACAGACTGGCCAGAAGCGAAACCTGAACTGAAAACTAAAATAGACCATGTGTTTGAAAAATGCATATTTGTACATTTATATTTGAACAGAACCAACACTGCTACGCCAGTTTGTAAGGTATATCATTCTACTTTCATGTAAATTAAGCACACTACATATTGTTGCACTACAGTTCTTTTCATTTAGGCTCTGACTGGTAATATACCCCCAAAAAAAGGCTTGTTCTAAGTGTGACCATATTTTCTATATATAAAAAATCATTTGTTCATGCCTAAACATTTGTTTATGTAGTTATGAGTAGGCCCACACAAAATCTTCATACATTTCATATTTTTGTTCATTGATTGTAAAATAAAATAAAATAAAATAAATCTCCTTTTGATCTGAAATTTACCGATTTGTGTTTTATTGCACCAGTGATGTCAAAGACCTACATTTCGAAACAATAATTACATTTATACTTGATTTAACATTGCAACAAAACACTATTAGCATTCTGCAGGGTGTCAATTTTTATCTCCTATAAACCTTCAAAGGTTTATCCGATTAGCTTTCCTCAGCTGAACTGTTCGTTCGCTCGTCTTCACAGCTTGCTCATAAATACTTATTAGAGAGTGCTGTCATAACAGAAAAATAGTTCACAGACATTCACAAGTTCAAAAGAAAACTGCTTGTCTTCATCATCAAAGTGTTCAGGAAATTAATAAGACATATCGAAGCATGTTTGCAGCCCTGTGGCAAACATCATATTCAAAACGATGTTTTAGATAGAAACAAACCATTTTAAGGCAAAAACACATTTGTCAGTGCCAGTCTGGAGGACATTAGCATATCGCTATACTGTAGCTCTCATATAACATCCCATATCTCATACAATAGCAATTAAAAAGCAGCAGGTGACGAGTCTGTACCCATATGTTATCTCTGGCCTCTGAGGTACCATACTGAAGAGGGTGTGTTTTAGTGGCCAGCTTTGTAAAAGGGCATTCTGTGCTGAAACCCCTAGGTGATGTTCTCTCTCTAAGCAAAGTAAAACGTGCATGACAACAGATGGCTTTCCAGGATCAGTCCTTTGCACTGTGTGGTTTGCTTGCTAATTAACAGAGCATGCTGTTGGTCAGTGCATAACACAGTGGCCAAGCATCTCTGGGGGGCTGCAAATGGTAATACACCTGAAACTAACACTAACTGTGACAAAACAATATCCTAGAATGTTACTGGTTGGTCCTAAACGTGCCCATGTATTTATCTATATTTACCCACCCTCAACAGGTAACCAAAAGTTGATGTAGCTAAGAATAGGAATCTAAAATCTGAGGAATCTAAATGAAAAACAATCTAAAAATGTTTTTTATATATATTTTCTTTACTGATTGAATGTGAATCAAAACAGAATGAAACAAAAAAAATAAAAAAATAAAAATAAAACAAAACAAAAACAAAGTAAAACAAAGCCAAAGCAATAAATAAATAAAGCAGAACAAAGCCAAACAAAACAAAACAAAGCAGGACAATACAAGGTCTTACCTGCTGGGAATCACCTTCAGTATATGGCAGCTTAGTGGACACGTGGAACATTATCTCTTTATTGTGGAAGTTGTGGTAGACTGACTCAATTCCAGTCTGACCATGTGTCACATCCAGGCCACCACGAAAGCTGTATTACAAGAAGGTCAAAAAGCTCTGAATTACTTCATTAATATTTTCAAACTCTAAACATACCAGCGGTACAAACACCCCTTCGTTGGGCCTGGGACAACATTCTATTCAAACAATCCATTACTCAACATAAAACTCTGACCTAGACCTGAAATCAAAGGGAAATTATAATATAATTACAATATAATAAGATAACTTTGCTACTGAAGCCTCAACAACAGCTCTCCACCTAACCCTACAAAGTGATTTATTGATAGGAATGTTGTTCCAGGACCAGGAAAAAAGTCCTACTTGGGTACTTTTCATGTTAAACACTGTAGGTCTATACCCTTTAAAATCATGAAGTTCAATCTTCTCTCCCAAGAACTCCAGAAACTCAACAAAAGCTGGACTTTCCTCGCTGTTTCCGAATAGCTCCTCTTCTGATGTCTGTAGAACAGAGAACATTTTCAGTTCACAAACCCACAAATAATATAAATTGAGCAATCCAGGAATAAAAACACTTAAAGGTGATCTAACCTGTGCAAATTTCTGGTAGATGACTCCAAACTTGAAGTTGTTGTTGATGACGTGCTCATCAAAGGTCACAATAAGTCTGGATGCCTTGAAACAAATAACAAATGAGGGTCAGTGAAAGAAAACTACATGATTTGTTCATTCGTTTTTTTTTATATTTCTGCCCCAGCTTACCTTTGGGTATAAGATGGGATAAAATCGGTCCACATTCACCTCTTCACAGACAAGCTTGAAAAAAAATTGTGATTAATCTAATTTACATTTTTCTAATCACATTATTTTATCTGATTACTAAGGCTGTGAATTTAACATCTTAATTTAGTTCAAATTAATAAAAAAAAATAAAACAATAAAAATAAATGACCTTTTTTTCTCATGGGGATAAATTAATAAAAGAACTTCAAAGTCACCTTTTCTAATATCTGATTTGCATGGGATTTTTCTCAGCAAACATTGATATATGCAAATAATTAAAATTTAATTAATTGAATGTATAAATATAATTGCAAAAAATATATATATAAAAAGAATAAATAAATAACATTTTAATTTAATTCATCTACATGTCATGCAATTGACTGAATTAATTTTTTTTTTTTTTTTAATCCAATGACAGCCATGCAAAATTCTTCTCTGTCTTACCTTCGTCATCTGCACAACATTAGGGAACTCGGTCAGACAAGAAATTGGTATCACATCATGGTAGGTTTTAAACCTTGACCTACAATTAAAAAAACATAAGATTTACAGTTACCTCCAGCATTACAAACTATTAAAATAACACTATAAGTATCGCTTTTTATTTCTCCTCTTTCCTACTAATTGTTTCACTTCTGTTTCAGTTTTTTATAACCATTTCTTACTATGTGTCAGTAAGTTGTTGTTATTTTAGCATTTGTGTTTGGCTCAGTGTTATTTTTTTTAGGATTACTGATAAACTAATGTAGTTTGATTTGTATTAGTTATCTATTTTAGTTTTAGTCACAGTTGTAGTAATGTTGACATTTTATTAGTTTTTTATTATGTCTATATAGGCTTTTTATTAAGTTTTAGTTTTATTTAATTTGAGTTATTTCAGTACTTCAACATACAAAATGGAAATGAAATAATATATATATATATTTAATGTATTTATACTGTATATATGTACATGTATATGTATATGTGAGGTTGTACATACACATATGTAGTTGTTTTTTGGTGTTTGGCTTAGTGTTATGTTAGAATCATTATTATACTCATACCTTTTGTTCTTTTGATATTTTTGAATTGTTTTTAGCTTTATTTTTTTTTTGTTTTCATTTAAATGTTTTAGTTTTGAAATGTTGTTGTATGCATTTGTCATTTTTATTTAATTTCTTTTATTTTCTTAAAAGCTTTTAGCTTTTCGTTTTAATTACTTTTTCTTATTTGTGTATGTTTTAATTGTTTTTAGCTTTATTTTTTTGTTTTCATTTAAATGTTTTAGTTTTGAAGTGTTGTTGTATGCATTTGTCATTTTTATTTAATTTCTTTTATTTTCTTAAATGTGTATATATATATAGTATTTATAGAGTTTTAGCTTTTAGTTTTAATTACTTTTTCTTATTTGTAAGTCGCTTTGGATAAAAGCGTCTGCTAAATGACTAAAAGTAAAAGTAAAGTAAACTATAACCAAACTACTTCACAAACACATTCTCTGCTAATTTGTCTGAGACAAATTGCTCATGCTCCTCTATTGTAAGTCGCTTTGGATAAAAGCGTCTACTAAATGCATTAATATAAATGTAAATGTAAATGTTATATTTAGCAGGAAAGACAAAGAGAGGGTGAGAAAGACAGAGAGAGAGAGAGACGGATGGTAGTTCAACTATGAAAAATTGCCATGTGAATCACTCCAGCATTCACAGGTGCCCTTGTCAATTATCTTACAGCCAATACGTAACATTCAAAGAGTCCCTGAAGAGCTCCCTGTATAAAAGAGAGGCTTTATAGATCAACCTCTCTCTGACATGCACACTGTCTCTTGTTCCCATCCCCATTATTAAAGGGCCTCGAGACAGGATTTGGGTTATAAAGAATAGATGTGACCTTGTGTTTCTGCTGCCCATTTTGAGCACTTAAGTCAGAACATCTTCGAAAATGAACAATGAGAGAATATGTGATAGGAGAGAGTGGACGTAAATGTTTCTTTAAAAAGAAAAGTGTCTGTGACAGATTTGTGCACCATTCAGAACTAAATTGAGAATATCTTTTAAATCCAATTCAATTTCTTGAACTGGATTTCAATTGAGGTAGCAAAAAGGATTTGTAAATCGAATGGAAGTAGCATTGAAAGGGAATAAGGGTTTGTTCCTAGACTCTATACTTTTACAATACTGTATATCAACAATTTATTGTTATATACCTCCTAAGATATTTCAGGAACATCTGTAACAAAGTTATTAAAGAAACACAGCATTCAAAACATCAAAGCAATACTTTTTTTCATCTGGGAATAGTCAAGAGTGTGTGTGTTTGACGTACCTAAGCAACAGTCGAAGGTGCTCCTGGTCTCCAATCACATCATACTTCACCGAGAAGACCAGGTGGCCCAGAGTGCTGTCCACTGAGTAATAATTAAAGTGCTCCTGCGAGAAGAGTTATAAACGCATAAACCCTCTGAAAGACTCCTTACATTATCACAGATTCCTAAAAGCTCTGACCCTGAGAGACAGCAAGCACAAAGAGTATTGCTACTACTACTAAGATGACTATAACAGCAATAGTAAGACAAAACAACCAATACAAACACTCCTGTTCTCATAAGAATCATCTATCAATTTGTTAATTGGTGAGAAAATAGTCCTGATGTGATTTTGATCAACTTTATTGTCAGCTATACCTCAACACATGTTAATATGTCAGGTAAAGCATAGATCAATAAAACAGATATGTAAAAAAAGAAAAAAGAAAAAAAAACTCTTAATAATAATAATAATTATTATTTATTTTCATATAGTGCCTTTCAGAAGCTCAAAGTCACTTTAAGAATGAAAAAGGAAAAAACAGAATTAGTGCAGTCAAACGATTAATCGCGTCCAAAATAAAAGTTTTTGTTTACATAATATATGTGTACTGTATATATTTATTATGTATATATAAATACACACACATGCATGTATATATTTCAGAAAAATATGTTATGTTTATATATTAAATATATTTATATATAATATAAATTATATGAATATAAATATAGACATGTAAATACATGTAAATATTTTCAAAATATATACTGTATGTGTGTGTATTTATATATACATAATAAATATACACAGAACACACACATATATTATGCAAACAAAAACTTTTATTTTGGATGCGATTAATCGCGATTAATCGTTTGACAGCACTAAACAGAATGAATTTTCTCTACAAATATGCATAATATATCAGCAACTGCAACATACCATACTGTATTAGCCAATATTTGACCTTCTTAAATGATACTCATTGGTTTGATGAGGCTGAAAAAGGGTTGGATAGTGGGATTTTAGTTGACTTTACCATATAAAATTCCAGATTGCACATTGTGGTCGTTTGTTTTTCATTAATATCAATATTTTCAATATAATATTGCCAATTATACTGGCTATTGCCTATAACAAGACAGACAGAGAGATAGATAAAATTAATAATTAAATACATCTTTGTCAATTCAGAATCTCACCTTGCCCAGGAAGTGTTTCCTGTAGATCTTGGCTATGCTGTTTGTCTCCAGTTTAACCTGTGATGCGGGACAAGGGGGCGGTTCCTCTGCTGTGGAGGAGGAGCCTAAATCATGATTGGTCCCTTCAATCCAGTAACCCCCAAACTGGGGCAGCAGAATGAGTGGTAAAGGGCCTGTACGACCCAATACCTGCCAGCCCACAAAAACAACAATTTTACAACCAGAATCTTACAACAAGAAAACACACTCATATTTACATATAAAAAAGTCAAACAAGTATGCAACCTCATGGACGCTGGGATATGGAATGTAATCTTCCTCTGTCTGTGGGAGGAATAGAGAGAGATTAGAGATGTAGACAATGTGAGCCTCTCATTCGAGTCACTTTAAGCCGCAAATGAAGGAAATATGAAGGTGAATAAAGAGACCTGTGGAGACTCATGATTCCAAACAAACCCTGAACTATACAATATTCACAAGGCCTGCAGTGAGAGCATCAGATCACATGTTCTGGTGTTTTATGTTGACCTTAAATGCACAGAACTATAACAAAGTGCTTCTATATAGATTCCGGTAAATACATACTTTATGGCCATTTATATTTTGAGTTGAATGTGTGATTCATGTGTGATATGAAGAATAAAGCATTATATTGTAAGTAAGTCTGTGTATGAGTGCAGCTTAAGGACATGTTCTAGCACAACAAACAACCAGACAGAGAGCAAAACTAAACAGAAGATACTCAAATAATTTCATATTCAAATACTGTATCTATACGCAAGACACGTTTACTTTAATAAGCAAAAAATGTTTATGATGTTCCTCTGATAGTAGCAGTAAATTAAAATTGACACTGATCTGCAGCATGACAAAAGTTGAACTTATTAATTTTTAATGCAATACTTATGGCACAAGATGCTGAAAGAGGCTTGCTCATTTAAACACTTTTTTAAAACAATACTTGTATTTTAAATAAGACTTCCATCATTTCAGACTTCTACACTAAGCTACATGCAATGCATTTTGCCTTACAATTTGGCAAAAAAGGTATTTTAAGAGGCAATAATTATACTGCCAAACTTTTGAACCAGCCTTCATGTCAGAAGAGCCATTAAGATGCATTAAAATGTCAACATTTTAAAGCAGCAGTGCTTTTCTTAACTTTAAAGCTATGAGAATGAAGGTTCATATGAAAACATCCATCTGTGGCAAAAGCAATACTGTGTGTTTCTGTGCACATGTGATAAACACAACGCTGATGGCAGTGTCTGTGAAAACAGACTGTAATGACTATAACACTTGATGCTAGGGATGCACCGATGTATCGGCTGACTTTTTATTATTTTAAAGCCATCGGCATATCGGAAATAGTGTGAAAAGGGCCGATACCGATGGTTGATAAATTAACTGCATGGAGACAACGAGTTGCATGTCTGTTGCATAATCCAACGTTTTTCTCTGGGCAAAATAATTAAATACTTGCCAAAACAAAATAAAATCTGTACAAAATATAGTTTGTCAGACGGCATAGTACGGCCATATGCAAACGTGACGCTGACGCATCCAACGAGTGAAATACATGCTCTCAGTTGTAAATTCATCATAGGTAAGTCGCAATGGCAATGCACCAGCGTTAGAGTTTATCCGAGGATATGTCACGAACCGCCAAGCATTAGGCCTACATTTAAGTGAAAATGAATTGCAGGTAATATGCAGCTTTTTGTTTGAAACCAGTGTAGAACACTGATTCACACAAGGTCACATCACGCACCGCCAGCGTTTCTGTGAACGGAGAAAACAGAATAAAACTACAGTATATAGGCTACATAAAAAGGAATATATAGGCAAAATATATTTCACTTAAATTCACTTGCTGAGTTTCGGATAATTGTAACGCACTCCGAAGTTCACAGAAAAAAAAACGAGACGGCAGAAAGCAGTTATCTTTATTTTACAAAAGCTTTACAGTTTTGAATGATGTTTTGCTTCTATCTGTATGACAAACCAGCGTTGGTATGACCATAAATTACGGAGTAACAGTTGGGAAAACAACGCAGTGATCGCGTCGGTGCCTCACACGCACATGCAACAAATTTTTGCTAATTTGACATCGCAGCCTGTTCATTATCAAAATAAAATACAGTTAAAGAAACATAAAAAGTTACACTGCTCAATTTAAATAGTCCGTAGTACAGTCTGTGCCGTTCAGTGTGACCAGCGTCTCACTGCTGATTTTAGCCTATATGTGAAGGATGATGCTTAACGTCGATAATGCGAGTGAAGAACAAAGCCTATAGTTTACATAATAAATAATAGTAGCATCCAGATACTTCGCTAATATAGAAACATTTGGATTCGTGCAGAATGAGAGAGGTAGGCTTCAGTTTCGTTTTTAAATTAATTCGTTTTGGCTTGACGCTTATATTTAGCCTAAATACAACTTTAGAGGATTTGTTGTGGAGAGAAGGGAACTAAAATAGCCTAATTGTGTTTGTAATTTTGCTTTTATTTACCATTATTTTAGCCTACATTATTTCTGAATGTAATAATAAAATGCAATGTACAGCCTACTAATTTAGGCTGTTTTTTCCACTCAAAATTAACGCTTATCGGAGTAGCATTTTTTTTTTTTAATGTTTTTATTGTGTTGACAGTTTTTTCTTTTAATACATTTGGTCTTTGGTAAATCTAGAAAAGATGATGCTATATTGGCTATGACTAAGAGACATCATTCAAGACTCTCCATGATTTTTTTTCTTTTTGAGTAAATTAAACGCTGTACTTTATTATTATTATTATTATTATTGGCAAAGAAAAAGTTTTAAAAAACGTTATTAACCGGTATGTTTTCTACTCAAACCGGATTCACAGAGGAACGCAGGAACAGAAACATTCAAATACAGATTCTGCTTGGAGTGAACCAGTCTTTTTTTTTCTTTTCTCGTTTTTAAGCCCTGCTTTATGCAATTGACCAATATTGGTATCGGTATCAGAATCAGCCAATAATTGTTTGTTAAAATCGGTATCGGCCAAAAAAAATCCTATCCGTGCATCCCTACTTGATGCTTGTTTGTGTGGCTCTAAATATACACACTTACTTTGAGAGGAGGTGGAAGAGTGCACCTCTGCTCGTCCATTCTACTGCTCTGTGTTCACAAAAAAAAGGTGAAGATGTTCAATAAATACAGTTCATTTAAAAATACAAATCAAATTGAATTAATGTAATTCATATACATCATTAGAACTTAAAGAAATTTTCATTGGAATTCATTAGAAGAAATTAAAATTCAGCATTTGTTAATAACTTGAAATAATATATACATTTGATAATTCTCAAAAAATTTAAACATGGCCAATATATACAAAAATTTAAATACAAACATTACACAGAGAGACACTTAGGCCTGAAACATATTCTACGCAAGTATTCAAGCTTCTAAAGCAATAACGGACATTGGCATAAATATACTTAAAATGTATTTAATATAAATGAATATATAATTAAATAACAGCTATAAAAGAAATTCTATCACCCCTTTTAGGTTTGTTACAGCCTTTATCTTGCTTAAATGTAAAAAAAAAAAAAAACTGACAGTTTTGAATGTTTGGAAAATGCAAACATAAAACGAGTAAGAAATACATATTTATTTATTTTTAAAAACTACTACTTCATAATAGTTTAATTTAAAATGGTCAGAAGCATAAAATGCTCTCTGTGCTCAAATTATGATGGATCACTAAGTTCAACAGACATTAAAATGTGCTGACCAAGTGTTTGCGTACTTGCATAGACTATATTTCTAACACTGTTTTCAAGAGTTTAATGACAGAGCTCAAGCTACATATATACATTTTAAAGTGAATGAGTGACGTATTAAGAGAGAACCTTAAATATAGATGACAGATGTCAGTAATGATAGGCAAAGACTGGGAAGGTGTCACCATATTGCAGGTTAAAAAAGGTCAGAGGTCATAAAAAAACGAAAGATTGCAGGAAAAGCAATAAACACAAAACCGGATGAAAATGTGGACTTCTCACCTGTATTCGCTCTATCATTGCAAATATATCTGATGTCTGAGAACCAGGAGGAACAGATAAAAGAGGGGGAGAGAGAGGAGGATGAACACAATGAGAAAGAGTGAGATCTGACAGTCTGCGAGTCCACTTGACATGAGAATGACTCTCGGCTCTCTCAGTGACAGTGGCTTTGCAGTAAAGGACGGAGCTCCCTGCCTTGATCCTATGATCAACAGTGCATCAGATGATCAGATGTACTTCCTCCCTATCATACGGTTCATCTCAATGGGAGATGAAGACTGTGAAACAGCATAATTTAGCACGGAGACAGAGCAGCTGTACGTATGAAGGATGTGACCTGAACTAGCTACAGCTGCGGTGTCATATCATTGAGCCCACAGCTCAAAATAAACCAGCATAAAAACGTATATGAATTAAAGGGAACGTTATTCAGAAATCACTGCCTGCTTATTAGCATGTTTGCTAATGCTTTGCATTTAAATATGTTACCCTGATGAATCACAAAACCAGTCTTAAGTCGCTGGGGTATATTTGTAGCAATAGCCAACAATACATTGTATGGGTCAAAATTATAAAAAAATTTTAATGTCAAAAATCATTAGGATATATATAAGTAAAGATCATGTTCCATGAAGATATTTTGTAAATGTCCTACACTTATGACTGGTTTTGTGATCCAGGGTCACATATAACCCTAAATACTAAACTTAACTCATCCTGCACTTTCTAAGTCAATGGGTTTTCCCTGGCAGATGATAAAATAAAGTAAAAAAAAAAAAGAACATTTTATGTTGAAGGTGGGATAACATAACATACTGTAGCAACACAACAGCCACCTGGCAACCTCTTAGCAACAGAACATACCTACAACCATCTAACAACGTCCTAACAACCTCACAGCAACACCACAGCCAATCAGAACACACAACCATCTAACAATGACCTAGCAACCACATAGCAACATCAAAGCCAATCAGAACACCCCTGTAACCTAACAGCAACACCACAGCCAATCAGAACACCCCTGCAAACACATAACAACGCCCTGGCAACTTGGCAGCAAATTTTGCAAAGGCAAACACTACAAAAAATTTTTTAAAAATCTAGTTTGTCAGAATGCAGCACCATTTTTTATGTTTAATGCTGATAAGACTGCAGAGTCAGGTAGGACTCTGCAAAATCCTTGCCAGTAACTGATTTTTCTCAACAAGAAATCACACATACACAGTTGTGAACTTGCACTTATGTAACACACACTCACACAGTTCAGAGTACCTTAAATGACTTCAATATAACAAAACGCTGTACTGAAACTGGAACTTCAATGTGTTTCTCCGTATGGCTTGCTGATTCATCAAACACAAACACCACACACACATTTGTGGTGACTTACAATTTACTTGTTGTTTTTATGTTAAAGGGGTCATATGATGCGATTTCAATTTTTCCTTTCTCTTTGGAGTGTTACAAGCTCTTGGTGCATAAAGAAGATCTATAAAGTTGCAAAGACTAAAGTCTCAAATCCAAAGAGATATTCTTTATAAAAATTAAGAGTCAACCACGCCTACCTAAAACGGCTCGTTCTAACACGCCCCCACATATCTACGTCACGATGTGGGAAGATTTGCATAACACCGCCCAAATGTTCACGCAAAGAAAGAAGGCGTAACTTTTAATTTTCGCTGTAATATTGTTGTTGCCACCGCCGCCATGTCGTGAAGGCGCTGTGTGTTTCGTTGTGAAAACGAAACCTGGGTGTTTCTTTAACAATGGACACTTTCAGGCCTGTTGACATTTAGAGAGCTTTCTTAAAACAAACCGTTTTTGAAAAGTTAATATAAAATATCTTCACACAATTACTATGAAAAATAGATTATTATTATTATTAAAAATAATTGACTTTTTTTTTTTGATTATTACAGTTTTTACAATGATTTTCATGGGTATAGGACACAAAAAACTAGGTATACCAAATATAATTAATGAACACATGATAAAAAGTTTGCTGAGGCAGTTTTGATGCAACCTTGATATACAAAATCTGTTTAATATACTCTTTTAATATAAATCAACCCCTGGGACATAAGAGTGCCTAAAGTTTAAGATACACCCAGTTAAATATCTTTATAACCCAAAGCCTATCCCTAAACCTAACCCTTTCCGGAAACCTTAGTGCATTTTTAGATTTTAATTAAGACATGAATTAGTCTCCTTATTTGATTAACTGTTGGGAGGTCCCATTATAAAGGTCATTTCAAGTTCTTCTATCATTGTGGGGACATCTGGTTCTCACATGTAGATAATGTACACTTGACAGAAATACTATTTCCTAAATTCATTTCACAAATTGATATGAATCAACCAAGCAGTGAATTTTACATTTCTCAATATAAGAGTGAGAATTCTTTCTCAACTAAGACATCCTATAACACTATTGCATCACAAACGTGCACAGTACACTTTGTACAGATCCAATGAAAGTATGTATGACTCAAAACCATCAGATCAATATATGATCATAATTCAAATCTACAATTATCTTTGAAACAAGGTCAATAATTGAAATTTAAATTCACATTTTCATGACAATTTTCTCCCAAATTTGAATGACCATAATGCAACAAAACATTCTCTTGTAAATACACTAAGATGTTATTCAAACTGTAAAGTATTTATACATAATGATAATATCAGACAGCATGATTCTCATTACTGAATTACATCATGAGAGGAAAAATCAATGAGAATAATCGGTAATGATAATTAAAAACGAAATCAAAAGTAAAACATCAGCACACGTTACAGTAAAAAGAAACGCAATCACACATTACTCTAACACATTATGTCTACAATCTTACACTTGGCCTTTCTATATAAACACACAAACTCACACATTTCACTATGATTGATTTTTCCTCACACTTTCATACATTAAGTCTACTTACATCACTGAAGCGCCTGCGGTGGTGCATGGCAGTGAGTGCTGGACTGCGAAACCTGTACATACTCTTAGCCATGATGAAGTCAATTAAATCAGCTGAACCCTTAGAGACACGACTGTGACCGGCAAACAAAAACACTCTCTCTCAATCTTCATATGTTCTACTCATGAGAAAAGCAGCGGGGAATGCAAGAAAAAGGCAGATAGCTTCCTCAATCTGCTACAACTTCCCCTATTCTAGTCAAGCATGCCATATGAAACAGCCTGGTAAGTGACATGTGGATGTGTGTGTGTGTGTGTGTGTGTGTGTGAGCCCAGACAGTACATGCCCATTCAAACCACACATGCCTCCTCAGATTCGCCAGCCAAAGGACATGCAAAAAAGTGTTTCTTGTATCTTTGATAACTAAATTGCACAATTAAATTGTCCAAAAGACTGTTGCATAAATCATCAATTATCAAAATGTCAAAATGGCTCTTTTCAATACTTGAAAATGCCTAATGACTGGCTTATGGAGGTTTGCATGCTTTCTCAAGCGAGTCAGTGAAATCTCATGACTTTTTCTTTTATCTAAATCAAAGACCTACGAGTGACCTCAAGATGTTACCTCAATAGTGTTATAGCAATACTGTAGAATAACAGGTGAGATTTTGTGCGTTTATGCTTTGATATACAAGCTTCTCTTTCTTCATTCTCTAAATATCTAATGTAATATAGCTGCAAATATTTCCCATTAAGTTATAGTGTATCTGTCAGAAATACTTCTAAAAGCAGGCTAAAAATGTAAAATGGTAAGATGACATAATGTCACAGTTGCTGAAAGATAATATGACTTCCTGTTGTCACATTACGGCCACGTTGCACAATTATAATGCATTTGCCAACACCATATTACAGAAATACTACAACAGCATGAGTGTCGTAGGCAGGCAGGCTGTTTATTAAGGCAATATGACAGAAAACAGCTTCGAAAATGCCTATAAAAGTGAATAATGTGCAACCAAAGCAGAGTTAGTTGGGTTAGTGTTGGATGTAAGCCTCATTCAAAATGAACTTCTATGTTTTCTAATATCTTCATACAAAAGTTGCTTGGTGGTGTTGTGGTAAAACCATCCTGTTGTAACGCTGTTATTGCTCTGGGATTCAGGGGAATTTAATGTAGCATCCAAAACCACTGAATCTGGGATCATCCTCCCTCCTGTCCCCAGGATCAAGGTGTTTACAGACTCTGGAAGGCATTGGTATGGGAAACCCAGAATTGTATTCCTCTGAGGCAGGTTTCTATGTAATGCCTGCTCCCAGAGGGAAAGAAAAATTCTCAGAGGTCGCGGAGACTTTTTCAGATCTATTTTCATTTCAGTGTCAACTTTGTCTGAGATGTTTCTCATAAAATTACGTAGGACAAATAAAAACAGATAGAAATGAGACAATTGCTGACTTATAGTATAGAGTTGTATAATTAATTTGGAAAAAGCATGACTGATGAGAAATGTTTTGATTTCATTTTGAAATCTATAAAATATCTTGCACAATGTGCAATATTTTGAGATCGCTTCTTAAACTCTAGAGGTGTTTGCTATTCAATATCAGCATTTTTTAAGGAGAAAATGTCAAACGTGAGGAAATGTGATGTCAGCAACCAACATGGTCTATAATACCTGGATCTCGATGGCAGTTGCTTATCTGGCATAGAGAATAAATATTTTATTAATATTTATTCATAAATATTTTGAATTAGCTTTTATTTGTTTATATTTTCAGTTTTTATTTTAATTCTAGTTTAAGTTTTAGTCATTTTGTTATGTGCTTTTGTAATTTATATTAGCTTCTATTTAGCTTTAATTTATTTTTATTTCGGTTTTAGTGTTAGCAATTCTAGTACTTTAACTTATGTTATGTCAGATAAAATCTATAATTGTTTAAGTTGTTGTTTTCTCATCAAATATTGTAAATGAGGTGTAAATGCCATGTTATGAATTACTCTTGCACTGCATTAAAATGATGCACGCATTTCCATGCCATTCCATGCAATTACAGTCAATCTTGAGCTATGACATGAAGGCCAGCAGACAGGAATAAATTAGTCCATTTAATGCTTTCAGGGGCCCAAAAACAAATATAATGAAACATTTGCCATTTAAAAGTCTCAATTTGCTCTCAAGTGGAACAACTGAGATATTGAAAAGAACCCATTTGCAATATTTATTTGATAAGATACCTAGGATTTTTGAATTCTGAATCAAATTAGTCAACTCGGTGTACAATAAAACCTTATTTTGGATTATACAACCTTGCTTACTATTAGTAGTTAGGGAATACTACAAAACCCTAATGCAAAGTCCATAATCCACAGGCAATAAACATTAAATAAAAAAATGCATGCTAAGGTAACTTGTTTACAAACCAATTTCACTTGGATCATGCTAAAACTAAATTCACAGCCATTATAATCCCAGTGTGGCTCTGCAGAGATGCTGAGCTGATTGTATAAGCATCTTGCATTATGAGACTCTTAGTGAAATACATAAATGCTTAACTACACAATCTAGACTGAGCTAATCTTATTCAACCTCTCACAATGCCATCAAGACACTAATGATTCTAGGACATCCCTAAACACGGACACTTAAGTCCTCCTAGCTCCCAGAAGCCCTTGTGCTAATAGCTCTCAGAGCTGCTCAGAGACACAGATGGGTTCAATTAAAAAGCACTTGGGTGTTAAATTAGGGGAATAGGTATCCCTGGAGAAGAGCTAGCAATGGTTCATCTTCAGATAATAAAACTGGTTAAAGACTTATTTAACATTTAATATTAAATGACAAAAAGAGCAGTACTTTTTGAGGTTCTGCTCAGTGGGGGTCCGTCAGTGGAGATAAGAGAGGATGAACCTCCTCAAAAATACATTTAAAGCCTCCCTGAATGATCCCTAATGGACCACCACCAGGGTCAGCTCACACTAAAAGGTGCCAAAGCTACTGAAGTGCTTTAATTGGCAGTTCTTCGGGAGATCTTGATGCCTGGAGGAGCTTTGATTTCTTTTTGGATCAAATTAGCATTCCGTTCCTCAACAAAGGATAATTTCTAAAGTTAAACTTGGATGTTGGTCCTTGAGGGGGAATCTTGGAGCGCAGAATTATCTGGTGACACAATTCAACCGATTAAGCATGAATTACAAAAGAATCCTTTCTGTGGAGGACTGTGAGGACTGCCTAAAATAAAATAAATTATGAATTCATAAAATAATACATTTATATAATAATAATAATGTTTCCATCTATTTGCCACAGAGAATTCATTGTGTTTAACCAACCAACGTTCAATTTATTTTAAACATCCCTTTGGCATATTATGGCTACCAAAAAAAATTTAAATAAAGGAATTTAAAAAAAAAATAAAATTCAGTCAAAAGTTATACATTTGTGTTTGTAGTATGCCAAGTGTTTGAAAAGTGATTATTTATTTACAATACCGTTCAAAAGTTTTGGGTCGGTAAGATTTTGTATGTTTTTGAAAGAAGTCTTATGCTATGTGTTTGATTTAAAAAAAAAAAAAAACAGTAAAAATACCAATATTGTGAAATATTATTGCACTTTAAAATAACTATTTTCTTTTGAAATATATTTTAAAATGTTATTTATTCCTGTGATGGCAAAGCTGAATTTTCAGCATCATTACTCCAGTCTTCAGTGTTGATCCTTCAGAAATCATTCTAATATGCTGATGTGAAAACCTTTGTGCTGCTTAATTTTGTGGGAACCATGATACATTTTTTTCAGGATTGTTTGATGAACAGAAAGTTCAAAGGAACAGCATTTATTTGAAAAAGAAATCTTATAACATTATAATTGTCTTTACTGTCACTTTTAAATAGTTAATTGCATCCTTGCTGAATAAAAGTATTAATTTCTTTTTTTTTATTTTTTAAATACAAACAGTATTGTACATTTTTCATTTTAAATTAATAATTAGATGACCGATTTCATCCTTTTATTTTTTGTGACCTTCCAAAAATCAAGTCTTCCACTGAAATCAACAAAATGATCAAAAGAAAAGTAGGTTACATGTAGTATGCACACACAAAAAGAAGCAGCTCATCTATTTGTAATAGATGGTTGTCACAAGAAAAAGGAAAAGACAGGTGAACAGCAGGAAGAAATAAATGAGAGAAGGCAGTCATTTGATATTCCTTCCACTTCTCCGACTGAACCCAAGGCTCTGCTGGAATATAACATGATTAGAGCAAAGAGGAGTGAAATGTTCAAACCTGCCAAACCTTTAGAAGAGTCGGAGCAGGTGATGGCGGAAAGGACTTGACCAGACCAGGACGTTCTAACGGGTCAGATATTCGCGGGATTCTGCCATCTTGTTTCCTGTGGACAAACAAAAATCCACAGGACTAAAGCAGGAGCATTAACAACTCAAGGCAATCAGATCATTCACATTGGCACATTTGTTACAAGCGTTCTTCAGAAGATCAAATTAGAAATGCTCAGCGTCACTGACTGCTCCAGCTGAGAAGGAATTGATTAGTTAGTATGCAATACAAAATGCTGAAAAAGCCACAGGTGTGTATGTGTGTGTGAATGCAGACTGTGAAAGAGTACGGCTCAGTAACACACACTGCATGGAGTAGAATCAAGCCATTAGTTTTTGTTCCCTCCCTCCACTGGCCGGTAATTTGACTCAAGCCAGTGCCTCAGTTCAAACACATTATTTCTCATCACATCGACTGCACTCAGCTCACGTCACTTTTACCAGCCGTTCCTAAATCAATTAAAACTCCCCTGCTACTTGGCACACAATCTGTTCCTCCATGCCAGTCTGGACACATATGAACGTCTGTCTGAAGGCACGTAACGGTTTTCAGTGCTTTGTTTTACGAGCTGATAATGATCTATTCATCCTGACTGAAACCAGATTATTATTTTATTATTACACTGAATTTAGCATGAGGTGGCCCTACAGTTAATAGCAAAACAGGACCATAAATATAATATAGTGACTTTGGAATTTGATGTTTGGTCTAACATACCTGAAATAAACAGCTTGAAAGCATTGAAAAGCATTTTCAATGAGAGATGACTTCTGGAGGGCGACTTTCAGAGATTTTTTCACTGTCGGTATGAAAGCACCTTCAGATGGCAAGCCTGCATATCATTCAGGCACTTTCTGTCGGATATTGCACACAAAAGTGGCAAGATAGTCTCAAAACAGCAAGCTCCAATGTTATTGGCTGACTTACACAATTTCCAGGAGTCAAAGTGGGCAGGTTTTTTCAAAAAAGTCAGTTGAGTTTGCAAATTCCCCTTCTACCACAATGATCACTTTTGAGTAGGAACTAGTGACTGGATTCTTGGCATTTTGGCATGATTTGCAACTTTCTTGGCAGTGAAAGACAGGGTTTATAGTTACAGATACATCATATAATGTAGTTTGAGGCATTCAGTGAACAGTTCTTAAAAGAACCATTTTTTCTATAGAAACCTTTTTCCACTATAAAGAACGTTTTGTGGAAGGGAAAAGCTCCATGAGTGTTAAAGGTTCTTCATGGAACCATAAGGGGCTTTGACACCAGAGGAACCTTTTCATAGTTCCTAGAACTATTGGCGGAAGTACCCGCTTTTTGGCGTGTTCGCACAGCAGGAACTAGGAACTCCGTTTGAGGGAACTAAATTAGCTCCTACTTCAGAATAGGGTCTTAAAACAGTTCTATAAGAACTACCAGTGATGTAGGTGTATACTGACTGACCAAACGCATACGAAACACCGGCTACCCGGCATTTTTAAAAATAAATAAAAATAATAATTTACTCCACAAACATGAAAAACAGCGATAACGGCATTTAACTACCTGTTGTCTGCAGCGTTGTGTTCTTTTCTCAGCTTCGATATGTAACACTGCAAGTTATCGTACACCAAGAACGATAACTATAAAGATAACGATATTAGCGTCCACACCAGCGAACGATATCGTCTGTTTATTCCAAGTCTGTTTACACGTGCATTTGCCGCTTTAAATTCTTGAGCTCGTTACAGCAGGATGGATTCTGATTGGCTGTCAATTTTTTTATCGTTCATCAGCTAGAGAAAAATCGTTTTGAAAGTGATTCCAACAATATCGTTTCTCTTTGTCTTTATCGTTATAGTTGTGGTGTGGACTCTGCTATTCTTTAATATTGAGAACAATTTTTAGAACTATATCTTTATCGTTATCTTTATAGTTATCGTCCTTGGTGTGAACGGGCCTTTAGTAAGATTTTCGTGCTCTTTCGATCACATAAATTGTGCGTTTACATTCCATCTCTGTTATCACAAAACCCACAACACACAACAAATACAGCTCCGATTATGGCGTCCTCCATTCACCAGTTGTTGACGTTTGTAAATGCCGCAAATAAAGATGTGCAAATGCAACCAGGAAAACAGCCTGGGGGGGAAATTGGTTCTCTAGGAACCACCCTGCTGGCTAGTTCCTAGAACTACGTGGTGCGAAAGTGCCTATAGATGCCAAAAAAAAAAAAAGAGTCTTGATATTTGAGAGTGTTGAGGGATTCAGTAGAACATTATTGATAAAATGCTAAAAATTTCAGATTTATCAACCCAAAAAGGTGTTTTTGACCAAAACATGCTGCAGTGTGTACCAGAATTTGTGATGCTATTCATTGTTTTGGCTACAGCGTGTGACACGATTACTTGAAGGTCTGAACCTCTTATATGCAGAGGTCACAGAAGATCACAAGACTATGTGAGGACCACATGACATCCAACTAAGGAGAGCAGTGAAGCATCTGCTTATGCTGCACAGAAAAGTGACAATTTGCATACTGTTAAAACCCAAATGAAACCGAGGTCACCTTAGACAGCAGAACAAAAAGCCATTTCGGTCGTAAGTGGCTGAGACACATCTTGAAAAGGATGTCAGATGCCAGCAACATCATGTCCTGTCACCGAAGGCACAGCGGTGTTTTGTTAGATCTTTACCTCTTGAGGATCGCCAGAGCTGACTCACTTCATTAGCCTGATGGCAGGTTATGTGCTGAAAAGCCCCTGAAGTCATCGAGTGGAGTTTTGACAGCGGTACAAGCTGTTGATTTCTCACAGCACATAAGCCAAGCTTGACTGAGATGTGGCACAAGAGGCTGATACAAAACACACAATGCAAGCGACATTTCCATAGAGACGGTGAGTGTGGGTATTTGCATTTGAAGAAAAACATTACACCAGACAGCTCTAAAACTATTTACTCTACAAATTTAATTATTCTTTCATTTTCTGATCCATCTTGATTCCACAAATGTGACCCTGAATCACAAAACGGGTCAATTTTTCGAAATTGAGATTTATCTGCAAATATACCCCAGCGACTTAAGACTGGTTTAGACTGTGGTCCAGGGTCACAAATGTTCACCTACACTGTGCTGTTCTTATCTGTGTGTAGCACCTAATAAATCAGCCTTGGTGAGGGGACTTCTTTCAAAAACACTCAAAAAAAATCATACCGACCCCAAACTTTTGATGGGTAGCGTTAGTTTAAACTTATTTGTGTAAAACTAAAATTTCCTTAGCATGTTGTTAGTGCTATGCTCCATCAATTGAGCAACAAAAAAACACTAATATAGAAATTAAATTATTTAAAAAAGTAAAATAAGACCCCTTTAAGACCTACATTGGGCAAGGGTTAGGAAAGGCTCAGGAAAACCTGGAGGCAGAAAGAGTTACAGGATTCATACAGAAAATGCAAAACAGCGCTGCTCCCTGGGTCTGTCAGGTGCACCTGCTAATACAAATGAATTTGACTGTGTCTACATGAATTAGCAATAAGCTATCTGACACTAGCACAGAACTACAGAACAGAGTGTGCATTAAGATAAAATCATGCATAAACACTGTATGGATAAAAAGATTACCTGACAAATGCTGTATGTTCATTTCTCTGCAATTTGCACAAAACACAAGTAAAACTCAATCCTATGACCTAGGGTAAGTGTGAACTATGAGGAAACCACAAGTCAAATCAATATGATTTACTAAATCACTAACATGCAAAAACTAGAGATGCAGATGACGTTCTTAGTGCAGCTATAGCATCCTGCATTTGCTGCTATTAATAGTGGAGTTAATATACTAAACACACTCAAATCTAAATAACAAATATCTTTAACCAACATTTGTAAAAAATCATTACACAGTCACCAAAAAATGGTATCGGTGCACCACTACCAAAAACAACACCATGCCCCCAAAACAAGCCCACACACGGCTCACTCGTCTTCATCACAACCTGCTCCACTAATACTGTCTGACACTTCTTCAGCTGACTGCCTCCCACTACGACCACCTGAGCTCCACACCAGCAGAAGACAGATGATCTTATGATGGAGTGACCGAGAGAAAGAGAGAGAGACACATTACTTACTTGTACACATGCACAGACGACAAATCAGCGCTGAGCAATCTGTTCTGCAGCTCTAAACCAAATGGGCAGGTGATAGACAGAGCTCTGGTTTTCCTATCGCTCCCTCCCTCTCTCTCTCTCTCATCCTCCCAACTCTTTCTGTTTCTTTCCCTCCCCCTGGCTTCTCACACCATTTTATGACTCACTCCTCTCTTGCCTTTTTTTGGGTTATCAGCCCAGAATCTATTACTTCTGATCCAGTTTGAGGTTTCTGCATCCCTTTATCGGACCCGTTTTGACATTTTGCCAATTGTTCTTTCTCATGTCAACATTTCTATATCCTCACAGCCACCAAATCATCCTGCTGATGAAAGTGCTGCTTTTGGCTAAAGGAATAGTCCACCCAAATCTGGCAATTCAGTTACTCACTCTTCAAGTCGATACAAACATACACAACTTTTGTCTGTGGAGCACAATAGAACACAATAGAATAGAATAGAATAGAACGTTTTCCATGCAATTACCTTGACTGGAGACTCAGGCTTTAGTGCCATAGTGTAATTAGTGCCATAAAATTACATTCAATTCAAAGTCTTGGAAGATTCATGACCAAATCCTTCTTTTGAATAAGATCTTTTAATTTGTTGATTCCGTTCTCATAAACATTCATGATCTGGTCAGAAATAAAGTTATGGGTCTCAAATGATATGAGGTTTATCTACCTAAAAGAACGATTTAGACAACCTAACAGCTAAAATAACACATTTTTATAAGGGCGAATTCATTTAAACAAATTAAAAATATTATTTTTTAAATAAAAATTTAAAATGCCTTGTCCTATTGATTTCCAAAGTAAATGCTGTACTACAAATGCAACTTCTGACAAGTCCAATTACTTTCTGTGGTAACTGACAGCATGTCACAGATACTGTCAATAGAGCTTAACTTGTTTTGAACTCAAAACATTCCCTGTGT